ACTATGAGGAGTTTGTCAGAATGATGCTGGCCAAGTGATGTGAGCCATCAACCAATGATAGTAATCCGGTTTCTTCTGTTTCTACTGGTTAAGTTTGTTTCCATTAAATGTCATGGGTAGATTAATGAAGATGTTAAATATGAATCTGACTTCTGGTTTTTCTAGTACCTAGTTATGACTTAGTTAAGGTTCAGTAGCAGCATTCTGTCATGAATTGTGTTTTGGGGAGATATGAGATGGCTGTCATGCTTGGCTCTTTAGGCTTTCACACTATCTAAAGTACACGTTGTTTCTGCTTGGCTCTGGGTTACTAGGTACCGCAAGAGCTTATAAGGAAAGCAATATCAAAAGGGTAGGGATCAACTTAGATTGGTAAAAGTCTAAGAAACTTTTATATCAACTTTCAGCCACACATTTTAAAATTTAAGGGGCAGTTTTGAAAATTCAAGTATTGTATTAATTGTTAAAATTTTAAAATAAGTGGTTAAAAATTGGTTTAACAGTTACACCAGGGTAAGCTGATTATAACTTGTATCAAAATGGGATCGGTCACGTAAGGATTAGTTTCTTACGCTTTTGGATTTTGGTGAAAACTGAGCTATAGTATTTTGAATTAAGAAGGTTCTACTTTTCATCCGAGTTGAGGATGAAATTGATCAAAATGAGGGGTAGACTTGCACATGAAGTTAGCTTTTCACCACAAATTATACAAGAAGTAAATTCATAAGGGAACTTATGATTCTTAGGTTTTAATCATGTGGCTCCAATTTATTAATTTGGGTTTTGATGGTAGGAAGTGATCAAAATTTGACAAAGTTAACAGTAAAATTAACTAATCTTAACAAAGAACTAGCAACAAAAATCTTAAGGTTGGCTCTTTTTCGGCCGCCTTGAGGCTCAGCTCAATTGATTAAAAAAAAGCGAAAGCTAAAGGGTCTCTCCTTACTCCTTATTTAGGGTGTTCCGGTACCTTTCCTTTATTTTATTTTATTTATTTTGACGCATCATATTCTCGCTTCTGCTTGGCCTAAATTTTCCATCGTGAACACTCATTAACAGAACAACAAAAATAAACGGAAAATACCTTTAATTCATGCATGAGAACTTGCTAACATTTGTATATCTTATATAAATAAAATCTAAAAACTAACGAAAACCATATAATCTACCTCTGTCTAAAGATTTGGCATCACCCATATGGGAGGGGACCAAACTAGTTGATTTCCTAAGTTCAGTCTAAACTTCATAATACATTCCTTTTCTATGTCAAACATGCTAATAGCAAAACCTCCATAATCATAATTTTTAGGAGAGTGATAATTTAATAAAAAATGATTGGTATATCTATTAATTTAATATACTATCAACATCTATTGGTTCAATTATTAAATTATATAATTGAAAATTTCCTCCTCTTAAATTCAAGTTAGAAAATAAATATTTCTTAATAAATATGCTATAAAATATGTTAATCAAGATAATATATCAATCATTGTCTCAATTTAATAAATTATTAGTGTAGTAAATGCAATTTCTTTGGAGCTGAGGAAAATCTCTTGATGAAGGTAGAGGTATTGAACCCTACAAATATTGTATTATCATCTAAGCTTGTAACGTTTGGACCAACTGAGATTGTCATTGCTCAAGTCCAATTTATATGCCACGAATCTAATAGTCTTGTAAATATACCAAAAGCAACGGCATTCACAATAAAAGATAACCCTTTCCACCAACATCAATCGATCACTAGATCCAACGAAGTATTTCCTAGCAAATATGTTGTTCCCTTTGGAACTATTTGAAGATGTTAGGGGAGCCGGAATGAACGTCAACGGAAAAGAATCCGTGTCAGCGACCGCATGAACTCCTGATCTCTCGGTTATTGCATAGATCTTTCCTTCATGGAATATGACGTCTAGGAAGCCACGCTTTGATCTTTCAGGTGCTGTCCATTTTGGATCTTTGGATCGGCAGTAAGCCAATCTGCCATAGGCGTATATTGCTACAAACAAGTAGTCATAATGGTTACTCGAAATGGGAGTAGGAGATCGAACTATCTTCCATGGGAAACGTTGCATTTTGGATTGACTGTGATAGTACCTAAATCCGTCCTTCGGGAGGACATATTGAGCCCCATGTCTGTCCGGACAATGACTTACATACGGAAAGCTTGACACTGGAGGAAGACGAATTTGAACCTTCCTAAAAGTGTCGAAGAGCAATAGTGCCGGACTCTACCCTTGTTTGGGAAGACATTTTCAGCCCCATGCCTATCTGGACAATAACTCACATATGGAAAGCTTGACAATATATGGAGGAAGAGGAATTTTAATCTTGGTTGAAGAGATATAGTAGTACCGCACTCATCTCCATAATCACCACCCAACCATCGAATGAACCACAAAAATATTTACCTCTAGTTTCCTGTAGGTCCAAGTGATGGACTTTGCCCTCCAGAATTTTGTAGAAACTACGAGATGTTCGGCTGTAATCGTCAAAAGGTAGCATTGACATTGGTACCGGCTGTTTGAGTGGGCAAGCTGGCCTCTTTGGTACTTCTGAATTCCATGAAACACACACTGCACCAAATTGGACATAATCATCGTACAATTTTAGATGTTGGCTAATTTTATATACTAGATTCAAAGGAAGCTCTTCCCATGGAGCCATGCCTTCATTTGGAATGAAATCCTTGATTTTTTTTTTTTTTTTTTAACTTCTAGTGATGTGGGTAAATGATATCTATATCGTAGTATAACTTTGCCATATTTGTTGGAGATTTTATGAAAACAATTAAGGAGAGATTTGACATAATTAAATTAATTTGTATCTAATTGAATCTTAATTTATGTAATCAAAATTCATAAATATCTAACTTTTCTCCTTCTTATTATTTTTTATTCTTATATTTTGTCTTTCTACATCTACTATAAAAGCTAGGTCATGTGTCCCCATTTTACAAGATCTAGCTACTGCCTTTTTAAGGTTTTTTGTGTGGGAAAATAGATCACCACCTAGAGTGATCTTCTCTTACTTTTCATTATTACTTCACACTTTTATTTTTTTGTATCTTTGTAAACTTATTACCATGCGACTTAGAACTTCTTAAAACTCTTAATTGCCATATAGAACATTTTTATTTAGAAGTTCTGCTCGGATTGGATTTCTAAAAGTTTTCCTTTTGAAACTAAGGACTAAACATAAAAATATTGAGATCTAAAATAAACAAGTAAGAAAACATTTTAGAGATAACTTGATGATTTTTTGCATTGCCTGTAGAAGTATACTACGTTAATAGAGGCATAACATCAAATACGTATAACAGTATCTATAACACAAAATACAATATCATTTAGAAATAAGACTCTATGATATAGTCTCTCTCTCTCTTATAAATCAAGGTCAAGAACTTGAGTGAGTTGTTGTGGAAGATAGAAAGAAGAAAGGGAAGCAAGGGGAAAGGTGGAGGGGGGAAAGGAGAATAATAGAGGGGGATGGAAGAGAAAAAATGTAGAGGAGAAGACCTTTGTTTTAACTAATTAATAGTAAAAATTAAAATTTTCATTAAAAAATAGTAGAAATTAAAATTAAAATTTCTTTTGGCCAATCACTTGAAGCCACATTACCTATATATACGTTAATTTTCTCTAAACTTATTTTGTTGCTTTTTTTTTTTTTAAGAGAAAATAAAGGACATCCAATGTGAAACCACAAAAAATAAAATTTTAATAAAAGAGGCTCGCAATAATTCATTAGAAGGAAAAAACAAAGAACACACAGTACTAATTGTACTACCGATCAGAAGTAAGAGAAGATGCATTCCCTGTAGATGCAGAAGAAGAACAGGAATTCTTATGATTATGCATCCACACCTTGAAGACCTGCCTGCTAATCCCAATTCCTCTGCAGAACTTCTCCACTTCATCCTCCTCCTCCTTCCTCTGCAGCTTCCACCCCAAATTTTCCGCAAACTCCAGCATCTTCTCCTTCTGCTCCGCCGTGAACTTTGTCCTGAACCTCTTCTTACTGCTCCTCTCCCCTGCCGACTCCACCTGCCGCCTTGCTCCTCCATCCCCACCGTATTCCATGAGTTCTACAGAATTTTCAGGATCCCCATGGTAATTGACGACTTTGCGGTGGAAGTTGCGATGGCAGCCGCATGCGGCACATTGCAGGGTTGTAGGACAGGTGTCGTTGAGAGTGAACTCGCCGCAGCCGTCGGTGGCGTAGCTGCCGAGACTGGCTGCATGGTTTCTCAAACACTCTTTGTATAGATTGTTTGTAGTGTTGTTATCTCCTTCCATCATCTCTCTCTTTCTCGTTTTGTGAAGCTTCATAAGGGTATGTTTATATGGAAGCAGGATTTAATCCCTGGCTAAGGTACTGATTACACTGCCCATACTTCGATGTGTTGCAGTGACAGAGAGAAAGAAATTATGTAGTGGCTGATATTACCAATCCATCCAGCACCATCACATCCTCCACTTTTGTGAGTGTTTTATATGTCACGAGTCATATATGCCAATTCTGCATGAAATTACTCTTTTATCCTCAAGAATCATATAAGGTTCATTTTCTCATCAATGGTAAAAGAGTCATTCATGCTAAGACTGACATTTGTTTCATGCAATCTAGACCCAAAGAACTTTTTTTCAGTCAATATTGTACACATAATTTTAGGTAATATTCTTAATTATATGATTTATAATTAGCAATTTTGTAGTCTTTTTTACCCAAATTTTCATTTTTTGCCTCATCAATAGTAGTAATAAGATACGCAATCCATTACCTCAGTTTTCTATAAGACATATATGAATGCAAGTAGACTAATAGAGTAAAAAAAATTTTAATATACAGTTATTATTAAGTAATTTTCTTTAATAAAAAATTTAAATACCATTTATGTAAAAGATTTGTAATTATTAGTGGAATCTCTGAAAAAGTTTTAAAAAATAAAATAAAATAATGTTATTTCAATAAAATAGTAAGGAAAATTAAAGACTAAAATAATTTCATTTTTACTTTAAAAACAAATTATTTTAATATTTATCAATTAAAATTTATTAAAACTAAAATAAAAGGCTACAATCATATTAAACCATATTTTAAAACCTTACTTGACGTCCCTAGTTAAACTGCTGAAGCAGATTCGGTTACAAAACGGGTGGGGTATGTGCTCTAATCCATTTGGAAGAAAAACCCAACAAAACGCAGCCTAATCCTGGAAACCTGATCAACCTAACTGGCCCAATAAACCTGTTGACTAGATCCAATTAGTTTTAAAATATATATTTTTAAAAAAATAATTATTTACTTTTTATTTATTTTATCTTTTTATTTTAATTAATTTCATTTTTTAAGTTACTTTTAAGGTGATTTATAAGTTATTTTTA